ACCGGACTATCGAGGGGGATTTCCAGTGGTCTGACGGGAGCCCCTTGGTAAGTTGGGCTGCCAGCCCTCGTGTGACCCCTGGAAGAACAACCACCCCCCCCGAGGCACCTCGTCATCCTTCTCCATTGCTTGGGAATGTGCCTGTGGGATGGTTCTGAACCTGGGACCAGGCTTTGAAGCCCCCCCAAGAGCTGCTTGCTGAGCATCCTTGGGGGTGCTGTGGGTGAGTCAGACCCCAGGATTTGGAGTCCCAAGGCCACACCAACAGCCATGGAGATGGGACCTCATTCCCGATGGGGGTGTCATGGCCAGGAGGCTGCAGATGGCTGCGCGCTGGTGCAGTCCCCTTTTAAAGGGTGTGCTGGGGTGCCCCATGCACCCCATCCTGCCTGTCCCCCCAGCTCTATGAGAACTGGCACCCCGGGCAGCCTGACAGCTACTTCCTCTCCGGGGAGAACTGCGTGGTCATCGTGTGGCACGATGGGGGCCAGTGGAGCGACGTGCCCTGCAACTACCACCTCTCCTACACCTGCAAAATGGGGCTGGGTAAGCTGTGCCCACCCCTGCCCTGGGCTGGGGGGCTGGGGCTGCACCCCTCCACGACTGCAAAGTGCGTGTTCCTCATCATCCCTGCAGTGGGGAAACTGGTCCTGTACATGGGACCCTCGGCTTGTTTGGGGTTTATGGAGGGGTGGTTTGCTCCAGTTTGGGGGTGCCCATCCATGGCTGAGTACAATGACCCCTTGCCCTCCCTGCAGTGCAGTGCGGGCCACCCCCCACTGTCAGCAATGCCCGCACCTTTGGCAAACCAAAGCAGCGCTATGAGATCGGCTCCATCACGCGGTACCAGTGCCGCCGTGGCTTCATCCAGCGCCACTCGCCTGTCATCCGGTGCCAGGAGGATGGGACGTGGGACCTGCCTCAGCTGGTCTGCCGCCCTGGTGAGCGTGGGACTCCCTCCAACTCCCCCATCTCCCCCACTCCCCCTCAGCATCTGCCTTTGGGACTTTCCCTTCACCTGGGGCTTCTTGTGTCCCCCCTCCAGGCCTGGCTCAGCCCCCGGATGACTGAGCGAGTCCCCAGGACAGAAGCTACCACCTCCCCGGGCCCTGGAGCCAGCGTGGATGGGGACAGCACTGGGACACTGGGACCCTGGTGTGGCATGAAACCTTACTGTTGGGTGTCTGCCTCCTTGTTTGTTTTATATCTGTACAAAGAAATCCTAATAACTAAAGATCCCCTCGAAAGGAACCAACAGGGACCTGAAAAGTAGTGTTTTGTTCCTGGAGTCACAACAGAGTCAAAATCGGGGGGAGGACACCATGGACAGGTGATGGCATTGACATGCCAGTGTCACCTCCAGCTGCTTTCTCCCACCTCTGGCCCAAGGGTCCTTATCCTGTGACATGGGGACATCTAAGCTGTGCTGCAGCTCAGCACCCATTCCAGGGTGCAGGGGGGCTTTTGCACTTCCCAGGAAAGGCAGAAGCTACTGCCACAGGCTTGGAGTGGGTACACGTCACCCAAACCCCCCTCTGTGCTTCTGTGGGTATTAAAACCAGTAAGTGGATAGTGTGGAGCGGTGACCTGGTCACTTGGGGCAGCCCTGGCACAGGGGTGGGAAAGGCAGGGCTGCACAGCCCCAAAATGGGGAGCGTGGTAGCACTCACGAGCACCATGGAGCTGGAGAGCCCCTGGCACAGTCTGGGCCCAGCAACATTCCCATGGACGACAGAAACAGGGAGGCACAGCCCAAAGTGCCCCCACGTCCCGGTGGCATTGGGGACCACTCAGGGCTCAGGCTGGGATACTGCTCCCGGCAAATGCATGGGACTTGGGGGGGGCACATCACAGGTGCCGGGGGGTGCTGGCATCTCCCCACGCTGTTTTCCCCCTGCACCATGCCAGCTCCGGTGCTTTTTATAGCTCTCCCTGGCCGAGTTGAACAGCAAAACTCAGAAACCCCCGGTGTGTGGTGCCAGGGACATTGATAAACCCTGGGACAGGGTGGCCAGGGGGGCCCCCGCACTGGCTGCCCCACTGCTTGAGACAGAAAGTCCTTGGCAAATTCCCCTCGTGGAGAGGCCAGATGGTCCCAGTGGGCAGAGGCCAGGCAAAGGCACGGCTTTGCCATGCAGCTTTACCATTGCTTTATTAATTGAGAAGGCAAAACTCCATTAGTCACGCTCGTTAATGCCCCGCCCTCCAGTGCGCTTGCACCAGCCAGAGTCCTTGTGGCTGCAGGGAACAAAGATGGGGCAAGAGACGCACCAGGGTTGGGGAATGGGGAGCCTGTGCTGCCTGCTGGTGGGGGCTGGATTAGACCCGCTTCCTGGCCCAGCAATGGGTCTGGCTTCTCCAGCAAGCCCCAAACACCCAACAAACCCCAAAGCAGGCTAGGGCGTGGGGAGCAGCTCCATCAGAGGATGCACCGAGCACCCAAACCCAGCTCTATCACTCCATTGGAGGATGCATGAACCACCTGAAATCACTGGGACACCCCCCCTCATCCCCTGCCTCAAGCTCTCTGCCTGGGTCACGAGGGCTGGCATCCCACCACCGTCCTGTCTGCTCAGCCCACCTCTCCTCCCAGCATTCCTACTTCCCCACAAAGCAGTAGGTGCCATAGGTCCGCAGCTCCTTGCTGGGAAAGCCAAAGCTGCGGACGCCAGGGTCCGGCAGCCCCCCACAGCGCTCGCGGGGGGTGGTGATGGGGTACCGCACACTGCCGTCCGCCAGCCACCCCCCATCACAGCGATCCAGCTGGGAAAACTTCCAGGCAGAGTAGAGCTGCCCCACTTTGGCAATGGCAGCCCCGTGGTTGCGGCACGCTTGCCCGGCCTCCTTGAAGTTCAGGTGGCCCCGGATGAAGTAGACCTGTCCTGGGGATGAATGGGGACATGGTGGGTGAGCAGCCACCACAGATGACCTCCTGAGAACAACGCCAGCTCTGACGCAAATCTGGGTGGGCATTGGGGTTCGGTGCCACTGTGGGAGGGATAGGGGACCCCAGCACTACCTTGAAGAGCAGAGGTGAAGCAGAAAGCATCGAATCGGTCCTTCTGCTTGTCCCTGGCCCCGTAGGTCCGGACACCTGGCAGGAGGAGGCGGCCACCGCACGGCTCCCGCGAGTTGATGATGGGGTAGTGGACAGTCCCATCGAGGATCCAGCCAGCGTTGCACCAGTCCAGACCCTCTGTCCAGGCTGTGGGGCAAGCAGCAGCTCAGCACCAACACTTCCCTCCTCCCTGCTCCCATGCCCAGCGAGGCACGATTTGGGGCAGACAAGGGTGGTTTTTTTGGATGCTTCACCTTTGTAGAGCTGCTGGTAGGTGGCGAGGCGGGAGTCCTGCTGCTCACAGGCTCGCTTGGCTTCGTGGTAGTTGAATTTGTAGCGCCCGTTGCTGGGCTGGTAGGGGAAGACAACGCCTGGGGGGACAAGGACAGGGATGGAGGGTGGAGGAGATGTTCTGCCAGAGGAGGCTTTGGCTTATCATCCCCCAGGGATTTGGTGCTGAAGATAAGACTGGGGTGTGGGGCACTGCAACAGGAGACATGAGGGGTGGAGGCACCCAGCCATGGACCCCCAGTCCAGTCCAGGGTCCCCTCTCTGCTCTCCCCCACATCCCTGGGGGATGTGGCAGCAGGGAGCGCAGCCTCACCTTCAAGGTGCAGCGTGAGTGAGACGCTCTCATCTTCCAGCCCATTGACGAGCTGGCAGCGGTAGCGTCCCTCATCCTCCAGAGCCACGTCGGTGATGGTGAGTGAGGCATCGTAGCGGTGGCTGTGCCGCAGGTGCACCCGCGGGCTCAGTGGCCCATAGTTCTTGTGGTACAGCCCGTTGGTGATGATGATGATGCTCTCCCGGTAGTTGGCTGGCTCCACCTTGCTCCACTTCACCCGGTAGTTGCGGGGCAGGGCACGCAGGACACAGGGCAGGGTGGCCGTGGCACCCCGCTGTGTGTGCACTGCAGCGTGGAGGGGCTCCAGCAAGTACTGCAGGCGTGGGGGGCCTGTGGCACACCTGTGCTGCTTCAGCATCGGCTCACCATGGAGCATTGCTGTGGCCCCACCACCCCTTCAACACCTCCCCCAACGCCCCTCAACCCTTATTGGCATCTCCAGCCTGATTTCCATCACCCATCCCAGCTCCTTTACCCCCCGTCCTGCAAACCCTGGGATGCACAGCTCAGCCTCTGCCCTAGCTGGATCCCAAACAGCAGCTCCCTATCCGCCCGCCGGGCCCTGCTCCCTACCTGGGCTCCCTGTCGGACGCTGGAAGATGCTCAATGCCGGGGGTGCCGCCAAGAGCCAGAGACAGCCGAGCAGGAGAAGCCAGTGCATCCTTAGAACTGGGGCCAGGACGGTGCCTGGGGGGGAGCGCAGGGATTTGGGATGTGCAGCAGGATGTACCCCGGCTTTAGTGGGGACCAGAGGACGTGGCGGTGGGCATCTGCCGTGCTTGGTGCTGGGGATGCCGTGGGGCCGATGGATGGCCCTGCTCCGTTGGGGGCTCACCGACATTTACTGTGCAAAGGGGACATCCCCTCACAGGACACTGAGCCAACAGAATGTGCCAACCCTCCTCCCCAGCGCCCCACACTTACCGTCCCCAGCTGTGTCCTTTCAGGAGCCACCATTCCCATCCAATACCTCCAGCACACGTCCTGCCCCGGCACCCGCTGTGTCCCGTCTCCGTCACAGCCGCCCCATCACGGGGCTGAGGGCTCTGGAAAGGTCAAACCTGTGTTGTGGTGCTGCCAGGAAGAGGGGACACAGGGACGCAGGAGGCGGCAAGCAGGTGCTCCCAGCCAGCCCCCGCCCTGTCACCGTCCCGGGGCAGGCAGTGTCCCAGCGGCCCTGTGGCCCTGCAGTCCCTTGGCACCTACTCCCATTGTGTGCAGGAGCAGTGAGCACCAGCCGTGCCCTCACTCCCTGCCCTGTCACTGTCTCTTCCCGCTTTCTTCTCTTTTTTTTTTCCCCCCAACACCTCCCCGAGGAACGCACAGGGAGGAGGAAGCACAATTTCCCATTGTGAGTGTCTTTCTCTTTATTGTTCTGCTCGGCAAAACACAGCACGCCTGGCTAACAAACATCCCTTTATTTGCAGGCCACAGTGTCGCGGAATTCAGGGAAAATGCCAGCACCACACAGGGCTCTGGCAGCCCCTTGGGCCGGCAAAGCCTCCCCTCAGCATCAGCCCCTAGTGCTGGGACAGTGCTCTCTGCTCCCGCAGACACCAGGACAATGGTCAATTTTATGCCTCCCCCTCAAGTCTCCGATGGGGGGATGCTGCTCCCATCCTTTGGGGCTCCCGTGGGTTGAGCAAGGGGAGTCCTGTTGCTCTTGCATCCCACCAGCCTTATCCTGCCCTGCGAAAAGGCATTGGAGAGGCTTCCCCATTGTCACCTTGGGGCTGGGAGCAAAACAAGGCTGCACAATGGGGCTGTGTTCTGGGCTCCCTTATCTTCTCCCTCCCCCAGGGTCCATCTCCAGGGGTGGAGGAAGCTCTTCTCAAAGGAAACACAAGACAAGCAGCATCTGTCCCCGGCACCAAAGGACACAGTGATCCGGGCTTCGCCATGGCACACACAGCACAGAAAACAAACCTCCCCAGGGGGAAGCAGCACCAGGGTGTGCACGGGCTCCCCGGCCCCTTGCTCCTAGCCCACTCCCTGTGGCTCCCAGCCCCTGTTCAGATTTGGCTGCTTGTACGGAGGGGTTAATGCAACAACCTGCCCTAACTTTGATGCCAGCAGGCTGGACTGGAAGCCTCCGGGGCTCTCCTGGCTCAAAATGGTCAGCGCTTTGGCTCATTTTAATGAGAAAAAGGTGGCCAGAGCTTAGCTCCCCCATGCAGAGAAAGGCTAAACCACAGCAGCACTGCACGTTCCTCTCCCACATCTCCCCACAGTTATTTTGCAGGTTTGTGGCTGTTCAGAGAGCACCCGTGACCTCTCTCCATCATGCTCCCTGCTCCTTCCCATGCCCACAGCTCCGAAAGGGGATCCTGACACCCCCCCCCACTCAAACAGCGCCTGGCCCTGGGCAGCAGCTCAGGGCTCCTTGGCTGGAGGATGCTGTTTCCCAGCTCTGTGGTACTACGAATGAGCTGAGTCGTTTCTTGCATTTTTTCCCCAAGTGAAGGCAATAGCTACACACCTCGGCTCTCACAAAACCACAACCCAGAGCAGGACACTTGCCAGGGCCTCCAAAAGTGACTCACTCCCCTTCCCCATCCCACTGGCGTCAGGGCATGACCCCAGCCTGATGCTGCTTATCTGAGATCACAATTTGGCCCGGCACTGTGGAAAGGAGTTACCCGAGTCACTTCCCAAACACAGGCTGTGTTTTACTTCTCGGCTCCTTTTCTCTTCCTCTCCCTATTTGGGATTTGTACCCATTCTCAGTGCATTACAAACACCTCTCTGCAAAAGCAGAAGCAGCCAAGGAAAAGCAAGGAAAACCCTCGTGTTCCAGCTCCTCCCCATCTCTCCTGGCATGGGTTGCTAACAGCAGCCTTTGACTCTGTTCCTCACCCTTGTTGTTCAAGGTTCAGCTTCTCCTCCTCCCCCTGCAGCCCCACAGGCAACGTCTTCACCAAAGCCCCCTAAACCATCATTTTTCCTTCTGACCAAGGAGCTTAAACCTGGCTTTGCTAAGCTTGCCAGAGCTCAGCACCTCTGCATTGTGTCAGTCCCACTGTGCTTGCTGCATCACCCTCCATCTCCTCTGTCTGACCCCATCCCCCCAAACCATCACGTTTCTCCTGTGGAGTCTGCAAAACTTCCCACTAACCTGCTGGGTTTTGCAGTGCCAAGGGATTTGCACTGAGCCCATATCACAGAAGATTCAGCTCCCTTGATGCTGCCACAGGATCCAACGCAGGCCTGAGGGTCTGCCCTGCCGGGAGCAACCTCCTCCACTCCAGGCATTGCTGCAAAACTCATCCTGGGCTGGGGGATGAGGGACAGAACCCACCTTTTCTGAGGCAAGCGCAAGGCAGGCAATTGGAAAGGAGCCTTTGGAGCACCCTGGCCGAGGGACGGGAGCTGAGCTGAGCAGAGCTGTCCTGCAGGGAGCAGGCAGCAGGCAGGTTCTCCCAGTTTCACCCCACCCAGCGCGGGCAGTGACTCATGGCTCCGGCGCATGTGAAAGGATGGGACACAGCTCTTGGAACAGCTGAGGGGTGCAAAGAGCATTTAGCCCAAGTGAATATTAGATCCCCCCCTCCTCTGTTTTACCACCAAATGGTACCAGACTGGTGCCATTTTTCTGCTCACCCTTCTGGTCCTCTTGTCCCATGAAGCGCGACGTGATGTTTTCAGGGGAAGCAGAGAGGTCCTGGGGGCTGGCCCCTTTGGCGTGGGAGAAATCCCCGGACG